GGGTCACATTTTTGTTTTAATTTCTGGCCAGAAAAGCTTTCATTCAGGGAATGCTGGGCCTTTGGTTACACAGGTGCTTTTTAAAGCATTTAATAAAGTTTTTCTTTATTTTACAGCTACACAGTGTTGTTTGTTTGTGTTTCACACAGATGAACTTCACTTGTAGCTCGTTGTTTTTTCCAAGGACATGAAGGCTTAAAGCAGTGATGGTGCCACAGCCACCAGGTGGTTGGAAGGAGAGCAGGAAGTAGACTGGTAACCAGGAGCTGTGTGGAGCTGCAGCGTGGCTGACAGAACTCAGAATTAGGTCAGCGTGGAGCTGAGCTCTGTCCAACCACAGGCCACAGCCTCCTGTTCACACAGCCAGGAGGAGGAGGAAGTGGGCTGCAGCCCTGCACGGCTCCAGCACTCCCTCTGCTGGTGAAACCACCACACTGACACAAAGAAATCCTCCCTGTCACCCACAGGTGCCTACTGTCTGTCCATGTTGGACTACGACAACCAGAAAGGGCTGAACATCAAACACTACAAGATCAGGAAGCTGGACAGCGGGGGGTTCTACATCACGTCCCGTACACAGTTCAGCTCCCTGCAGCAGCTGGTGGCTCATTACTGCAGTCAGTTCACCTGCTCTCACTGCTCTCTGTGCTTCCTGTGACCTCCCTCTAACCTGCTCACCTCTTTCCTCAGAGCACGCCGACGGCCTGTGTCACGTCCTGACCGACATCTGTCCCCTGCCCAACCCTCAGACTCAGGGCCTGTCCAAGGACGCCTGGGAGATCCCCAGAGAGTCCCTTCGGCTGGACGTGAAGCTGGGGCAGGGCTGCTTCGGAGAGGTGTGGATGGGTAGGTGGTCTCTGCCTTCTTCACTCTGAGTCTTCATGTTTTCACTCCACTTCCTTCATTAACTGGATTAAACTGGAAGCAGACTGCAGACAAACATCACCAGCTGTGTGACGGAGTGAACAACATGTTTAAATGGGACTTATGATTTTTAATCCTTCAGCTGGGCTCTGCATGAAGTGGAACTGCAAGGATTTAATCTGAATCAGTCCTTATTGTAGCTCCACAATCCTTGTTCTGAGATTCATCTCAGATCAGCTCGTTTTGAGGCTGTCTCTTTAAATGCAAACGAGTCACTTCACACCCCGCCCCCATCCAGCTCACAGAGCAGTTCACCCTGTTCGGCCATGTGTGTAGTTCAACAGCAGGTAAACATTAACCGTGTTTCCATCAAGGCTCTTTGATGAGCATTTAGAAGTGTCGCATTAAAAATGTGAAAAAAAAGTCAGATGGAAACAGCAAAATTAAAAAAAAATCCTCAATTCACTAAAAAGTTTTTACACTCACTTGAGGTGGTTTTTGGATGATTCACAAAGTAGTTAATGCACAAAACGGGAGATGGAAATATGTTTGCTGAATAAATTCTGACGTAGTGCATATTTACCTCACGTAACTTTCAGCTGTTTCCGCATTCCTGCCTCGTCCAGATGTTAGCCCTGCGTAGTTGCACGTGACTTTCTGCTGCGTAGTT